GTGCACTTGGTTGATATCATCGAAACCGATGGTCAGACACACACACACACACCTATACTGCACACAAGCCTGCTGTTGTTCCATGCATGCCATGACATTCTTGTGGGGCGTGTCTTCGCTTCGGGCCGTTATTTCATCATCAGGTAGTTCGGTTTATCCCTGAACAAAGGTCGACTAAATATTTCGTTCTTAGGCGCAGCCTTGGCGGCAGCCTCAAGAGAACTCACCCGCCAATGTTCTTGACCGTCACACGTTCTTAAAACCCTTTATGCAGAGTTACAATGCACGGTGTGGTTCTCAGGCTCCATCAACGCGAAAGTGACAACTCTGTGTACACGGTGAAAGCCTCTGGTTGCCTATGCCCATAGCTAGTGCAATACACTCGTATTGCCCGGAGATATTGGCAGTGTATTTATGCATCTGTTAGACCTTGTAATGCGCCTCAAAGAGAGAGGGAGAGGGACGGGGATTAGGCGATCTGTGAATTTTATTTATTTGCCACTGAGGAAGGATGCGCTATTGTATGACTGCAACGGCGGAGATAGTTTACAACAAAACACCGAACCATCTACATGATTGAGGAGTGTACTTATGTTGATGCGGGACGATCACTCGAGAGTGCGTCTGCGTTTGCCAAACAGTTGTCGTTTGCGCGCCCACAGGCGCCAGAAGTCGCTGCCACGGTAACTGCCCACAGGCACGTCGGGGCGTGGAGCATCGTCACAGACCTCGGCGCAGGTGCCCAGGCCCCCCAATTCTCCATAGTGGCAGCACATGCCTGGTGGGCAGTCCTTGTCCATGAGGCACCTGTTCCTCAATTGGCTCTTGCTCTGACAGACTCCCTGTGACCCTAAATACACAAGAACTCTAACATGCAGTTCACATTAGCAGTAGCTTAATTGTAATCTGGGCAAGCCTATATTTAGACATGTAGCATGTAAGAACAATTGGGAAGCTACCTACCTCTTGTGACACAGTACAGTCCAGGACAGCAGTTTGTTTCGAACATGCAGCTCTCATTTTCCTCAGCGCACTATTCAAAGAAAAGAAGTGATGAAAGTCAGTAGTTTTGGAGAACAGTTACTATTGACTGAAAGAAGGTGAAACCGATGCTGTTGCGCCATCTGTCATTGTCAGCAAACCTGACACACTTTGGGCACTCTGAAAAGGAAACCTTTGCAGGCGGTCCAACACACAGATTCTGGATGAACTTTATTTGCACACAAAAGACGCGGTTGTGTCTGTGGGGGAGGGATTTTATCCGTCCCCGTTGTGTTTTGGAGGATCCAGCAGGACAAAGGGATTGATCCTTGTTTATACACGTCGGCGCGCTTACTTCGAGTCATCATTTTTAGCTACTCTGACATGTGTTCTCGCCTCCTCCTGGACGCATGTAAACTCGTTTAATAGAAGCGAACAGAAAATAAGAATGTGTACCTGGCTGTCTGGTTTCGCAGAATACATAACATGAGCTTTTGTGCAAGAGAAAGCACGTATTAATTCCTGAGCTGGCTACATTTGACTGCCCAGGTGCGTTGTCTTGGGAAGTCACTTTGATATAAAGATTACTGTGCAGAAGGAGACTGCCTAGCCGCTTTATATATCTTCACCGTTTTTAACCTTTTCTTTATAGTTTTTTTGATTTTCTCTTTTCCAAGTTTGTGGGCATACTTCCGTTGCAGGTAGGAAATAGGTAGTTCGAAGGTGTACATCTATGTTGCCCCCAGACAATTTAACTGAAAAAAAA